TGGCTGCTCCTGGCAGCCCCTGCGCTGGAGAGGGGAGGGTTTGGAGTGCAGAGAGCGTGCGTCTGCTGAGCTGGAGCTGCCCACTGAAGACAATTTTGCAATAAAGCCTGGGTATCCTGCAGGTGCCTGTCCGTCTGTTTGTCCGCCCGCTCCCTCCTTTGGCTGCCGGCACCGCCTGGGGCTCTGGTGGCTGCTGATGCTGATGTGTGGGGCTGTGCGGGGACATGCTGTGGCGTGGCTGGGGGGGAACATGGGGTCACAGGGTGCCACGTGGGCGCCTGCTCCACCGCAGCCCGGCCAAGCCCCGGCACGGGGAGAGGAGCCCTCAGCCCTGCCAGCCCTGCCCAACACAACCAAACACCCATCTCCAGCCAAACATTTCCAAGCTCATCTGCAGCTGAGTGAGAGCCGGGGAAGAGTGTCCTTCCACAACTGTCTCCCCCACTACAGCAACTTTCCACCCTCAGCCTGAGAGCGAAGCTCACATCGCACCCAGCTGCACCATGGGCTCCTTTTCTCATTAGTCCTATTATTTCCCAGGTTCTGCAGCTCCAAAAAGCGGGCGCCTGCACTCTGCTGAAGCCCTGCAGAAACCCTGCTCTTTATGTGCAGCACCAGCAGCCGCATCAGGGACAGCAGCGTGGCCACCTCCACCCCCCGCCCGGGGCTACGCCACATCCCGCATTTCATGGCACAGCCAGCTTCACCGGTGTCCCCCCAGAAAGCTTTGGAGGAGAGTTGTTTCTCTTCAGCGCTGTTTAAGGTACCAAAATGTCCGAGGTGCCAGGAGCAGGTACGAATCAGGAACTTGCAGCCCGCTCCAGCCCCACGTGGAAAAACCTCCGCTGCAGACACAGCAGTTTGGCTGCCCAGGAAGGATTGGGCTGGGGAGCCCGGCCATGGGCACCGTACCTCGCCCTCCCTGCCGCTCCGCTGCCTGCTCCTGCCGGCTAGGTGCTGGGAGCCCACCAGGAGCACAGGGGCCGGGGCTGCGCTTCCACCCGCTGGGGTCCCAACTCCTCTGTTATTGTCTGCTCCTGGTGGGTTTGAAGGGCCTCGTCTTCCTGGACCTGGCTGGTGCCACCTCCCGGGTGAACACATGGGAGCGGGGAAGCTCCAGGAGGGAGGCACCAGGGGAGTGGGTGAGACCTCCCGTCCCCGCAGTGCCCCATGCGAGGACAGCCCCTGGCACTGTCAGGCAGGGACAGCCCTGCCCCAGAAATACCATGTGTGGAGCGGATGGAGGTGGCAGCTCTGAGGCAGAGCCACAGGGAACCGCAGGGCTCCCAGGTTGTTCTCTGCAGGGGAAGGGACCCGGGAGCAGCCGCACAGGGACGCGCAACAGCCCAGAGCCGGACCCGGGTGATGCTCAGGGCAGGGACCCTTTGCCCGCAGAGAGCCGCCGTCGGCAGCCAGGGTTCAGGGCCAGGCACAAGTCAGGGACAGGGAGAGCTCAGTTATGTCTCCGCCAAGGAACACCCTCAGCGCTGCTGAACTGGAACCAACCGTTGGCAATAAAGCTGTCTCCTCGCCTTCTCTAAGGCCAGAGCTGCGATGGTACCGGCAGCGGGTCTGTGTGTGAGGCTTTGGTCCGAGCCGGGACCAGCCCGTGGCTGTAGGAGAAAGACCCTGTGACACCCAGCACGGATCTGGTCCCTGTGCATGGCCTGCATTTGTCCTGCCTGTCCCCACCTGTCCCCAGACCTTTCCTCCCTCACCCCTGAGAGCTTCTTCCAAAGGGTTTGCCCAACCCAGTTGCAGGCTCAGCAAGTCACTGATGGCTGGGAGGGAGGGCACTGCGGGGGACTGGTACTTCCAGGAGACAAGGGATGGGGACAGGGCGGGAAGCCTGGAGAGACCCGATCAGTAGCACAGGGGCTACTGAGCCGCAGAGGGGCTGTGCTGGGGACAGCCCGGGGGGGGACGCGCTGGCCAGGGCAGCAGGGACGGGTGCTCATGTCCGGCTGCGCAGGGACAGGAGGCTGGGGCTCCCCCTCTGCCTTTCCCACGGGGGGGATAGGGTGCCCATGCAGGAGCACTGCGCCACCCTCGCTGCCCAACCTGGGGGCACATTTGGGGCTCAGGGGGTCCCTGTGCAGGGCTGAGCCACCCCTCGAGAGGCAGATCCCCCTCTGGGTGCCCTGCCTGGCCAGAGAGGCTGGGCAGTGTGGCAGCGAGGCAGGGAGAGGCAGGACTGTAGCCCGCTGTGGGGGGGCCGTGCTGGGGGCAGAAAGGGGAGCCCCCGGGGCGGGGGCAGGAGTGGGGGCAGGAGCGGGACAGCAGGGCTGAGGGGACAGTGCGTGGCAGTGCTCTCGGTGGCAGGGGAGGCAGGAAGTTAGCTGAGACCAGAGGGAACAAGAAACATCACACTCGTGCTAAACCCACAGCAGCAACAGATTTGGTGTCCCGGGCAGAAGAGGAAGTGAAGCCCCAGAGACACAACGAAGAAGGAGCGTGAGGGGCAGGAGGGCTGCCCTGACGCGCAGCCCACGCCAGCCTGCCCATGAGGCTCCTGCTGCTCGCCTTGATGATGCTGCCAGGTAGGGCTGAGGAGACCCCTGGGGCTCAAGCCCCGCACTGGAATGGCCCCATGGGGCAGGAGGTGCCGGTGTGGCAGCAGCACTCCTGTGGCTCCCTGTGTCTCCGCAGGCTGCTGGGCGGTGAAGGGACCTGGCACTGTGTGGGGATTCCTGGGAGGGTCCCTCTCGGTGAACTGTACGTACCAACCCGGCCACGAGATGAAGCCAAAATTCTGGTGCAAGCCGGCATTTGTTTATACCTGTGCTGTTGACATCATCATCACCTCGGAGCAGCGTCCCATGGTGTGGTGGGACCGATTCTCCATCCGGGACAACCGTATAGAGCGGGTGTTCATGGTCACCATGAAGGGCCTGACCAAGGAGGACGCGGGCACCTACCGCTGCGGGGTGCGAACAGGCATAACCAGTCGTGATGACAGTGACACTGTGAACGTGATCTTGTCGCCAGGTCAGTACTTGTGGGTCCCCCAGGTCCAGCGTTGGTTTGTCCCCCTCCAAGTGCTGGGAGCGGGGACTGCAGGGAGGGGTAGCCTGGAGGAGGTGGGTGCCCGGGCCCCGTGGGGTAGCCCCAGGCTGTGTCACCAGGGCTTGGCAGTCAGCTGCCGTAGCAGGTGCCATCTTCACCCATTCCCCGTGCCCAGGTCTCACCACGGCCCCTTCTTGGTGCCCCAGGGTCAGCCACCCCCATCGCTGGGGTGCACCACCCTGCTCTCCGTGCTCCATCTTCCCCTCTCATCAGATCCTGCTAGCCCTGTCTTTGCTCTCCTTGCTTTATTTTATAACACCAGGGAGTTCCTCACCCCCCTATGCCGCCCCATTTCCCGCTGTGGGGCAGCCAGTGCCTGTGGGCACCAGGCCCTGGGCTTAGGGAACATCCCTCTCCGTCCCCTCGCCAGGGATGAGCCCCTGGGGTGGGACACTTACCTGGGCTCTTGTGTTGGTGCCGGGCTGGGCAGAGGGTGCCCAGACCCCCTTCCTGCAGGGTGAACTCTGCTGCCTGTGCATGTGCGTGTGCACATTTCAGGGGGGGGGGGACAGGGACCACGAAAAGCCTCCGGGGCAGGGGCAGGGGATTACAGCCCTCCCACCTCAAGGAGTGCGCTCTGGACGTGGCAGAGTGGACCCAGCTTCTCCTGGTGTGACGGTAAGTGGGTCACTTCTGTCTCGCTGCAAAACCCACAGCATTTTCCCCCACGGAGGCAGGGAGACCGACAGAGCCTCTCCTCTTTTTGTTACAGCTCCTTCTTCCTCCTCCCCAGCATCACCCTACACCCTGACCACTGAGCACCCCGATCTCACTAGCTCTGTATCAGCCCCCACACAGACAACTCCCCAGGGGGAAGCCGTGCAACCAGGATCAAATCCCTCCCACCACGAAGGCTCCAGCCCTCCACAGTGAGTACCAGCTCCTGTTCGCAGCGGCCACCTCCCTCCATGAGGTCTCTGGGGCAGCTGGAGCCCTGCAGCCCCCCGGGCTCTTCACATCTCCCTTAAGGATTCAGACCTCCTGCTTTTGCCTTTAGAGACCAGCGTTTCATCCTCTCAGCCAGCTACTGCACATGGAAAATAATCCCAGCGCCCCTGGTCGCTTGGCCCCGGCAAAGCCCTGCTTGTCCCATGTCAATCTTGCAGCTGAAGCAAGGCGCAGGTTATCACCATGTGACAAGTGGTTTCTCGCTGCAGCACTGACCCCGTTTCCTTCCCCAAAATTCAGAGGGACCATTTGCTTGTGAGAAACCAAGTGCTGGGCTGGGTCCTCTTCTGCTTTGTAGTCACGTGCAGCCTGGCAGAGATAGTTGAGAAAGCACGAGACCAGAGTGGCAGAGCTTCCTCCCTCCGCTCCTGCCTCTTGGAGGTGATGCAGGAAGGGGGCAAAGCTGAGGCTTCCCATCAGCACGCTCAAGGGGTAGCTGGCACACTGACCTTGCCTGGTTGCCCATTACAACAAGGTCAGCAAATAGTGGAGCTAAACCAGAGCAAAATTAGGTGCAGGAACTGATCCTTAAAACAGGCGCAGCCTCTCAGACCCCAGACCCCCTTTCTTCTTCAGTTCTGCAGTTAGTTGAGAAAGCACGAGACCAGAGTGGCAGAGCTTCCTCCCTCCGCTCCTGCCTCTTGGAGGTGATGCAGGAAGGGGGCAAAGCTGAGGCTTCCCATCAGCACGCTCAAGGGGTAGCTGGCACACTGACCTTGCCTGGTTGCCCATTACAACAAGGTCAGCAAATAGTGGAGCTAAACCAGAGCAAAATTAGGTGCAGGAACTGATCCTTAAAATAGTGAAGACGCAGCAGCTCTCAGACCCGAGTGCCCCTTTGCTTCTGCAGTTTTCAGTTTGCTTTGCTCCGTGCCCAGCTTGCAGCCTAACCACCCCCACGCCCGATTCCTTTCCTCCCAAGGCAAACCCTGTCACCCACAGCAGCTCCCTGTGTGCCTGCTCCATGCTGGTTCCTCCTGAGTCTGCTTCCGAGAAGTGTGAGAACAGAAACTTTTTTCTTGCAGCTTGAACGTGATTGAGCACATCCTCACTCCAGGCATCGTAGTAGTTCTTCTTTTGCTTGCAGTTGCTGCTGGTGTTTTGGTAATGCTGTCCAGGAAGAGCAAGAAGGGTAAGTGAAGCTGTCACTGCCGCACACACGCTGTTTCTGCACCAGAGCCTGTCTTCTGCTATACTTGTTTTTTCCTCTATATTTCTTTTTTCTCTCCCATTCCCTCCCTGATCCATCCAGTTCCTGGGTCCGTCACTGAGACCTCCACCAAGGAGGTCTCCTTCCCCTGAGGGAGCGGTGCGACCATCCCACAGGTCTGATCCCCGTGGGAGTGGGGAATGGCAGCTCTCAGGATGGGTGCTGGCCAGCACGGCACCCACTTGAGTTTGTCTGGGCACCGTCAGCTTCTCCAGACACGCTCAGTTGCGTAGGCCAGGCTTGCACTAGGCTTGATGCAAAGTTTAAGGTCAGTGTGAAGGACGGAGAGGGACGGGAGGGGATGTCACCAGCTGGCAGGTGGGGTCTGGTTTTATTTGAAGAACTGCTCCAGTTTAGATGGTTGATGGGGCAACAGGTTCCCTTCCTGCTTTACAACGAGATTCACAGCAGCAGCGCAGTTTTTAATATGCTTTTTTTCCTCTGGTTTCACTCCTGTCTAACCATGTCCGTGCTTCATCCAGCCCTCTCCAGAGCCGCTATAGAGATGGACAGAACTCGCAGCGCATCACATACAGTAAGGCAAACCGCATGAGGTCTTGGGATGGTGTGCTCCAAACTTGCCTGGGGACGGGAAACATTACATCCTGAGCTGAGCAAACGAGCTGCCAGATCCGTTTGCTTTCAGCCAGGTTCATGGCCCTTTAGGCTGGGAGGGATCTTTCGGGCTCCGTTCGCCAACAGAAAGACCAGGGATTTTGTGTGACTATCGCAGAGTGTTCCTGGGAAGGGAATTTAGGATTGAGCTGAGAGGTTTCTCCCCACGCCCCTCCAAGCACGGGAGCTGCTTCTCTGGGTGAAACAGTCTTGGGAACCTGCAGCAAAGCACACCTGAGGAGACTGTGGGGCAGCCGATCTTCAGTCGCTGCTTGGGAAGCATTTTCTAATGTTTTCTGCCAGCTTTCGAGGAGGGGCCGGTGTCACTAACCAGATTTCCCCTGGGGAATGTTGAGCCAGCCCTTGCTGCAGGTTAAATTTTCCCCCAGCGCTCCTGCAGCTCTCGTCAGGAAAGGCAGCAGGACGGGAGATGTTCCCACCCCTGCGGGCTGCAGGCAGGGGAGCAGCAGCAGGTTCAGAGCTCATCCCTCTCCTTGGCGTGTCAGGGAGCGGATGCCTTGAACTACGCAGACATTAACCACGGTGCGGGCACAGCCGAGAGCCAGTTGTACAGCAATGCCAAGGCTTTCCGCTGCTTGGCAAACACCATGACCGAATACGCAGAGGTCAAGCAGAGCAATAAGGTAGGAGAATGCAAAGCAGTGCCGAGCTCAAAGCGGTGGGTGGAAAGCCGGGGCGGGTGGGTGGGCAGCGGGATGGGTTGGGTGGGTAGGGAGGGGGCTGCAAAGGGACATGCCAAGCTGGGGTGCAAATGACCCTGGATAATGTAGGTGCCCTCTGTGGATCCCACGGCTGCTCCTGGGTGCTTAAAGCAGCTGAGAGAGGTCCCAGCAGATGGTGTTCCCCTGGATAAACCCCACAAAGGATGTTTTTTGTTTATCCCACTCCTTTCCCAGCGTTTGGAAGAGGAAAAAGAGGCTATATATGCCAGCGTGCGGAATTCCCTGCTGGAGCGGCAGGAGATCTACGCCAACATGCCGTCAGCCCCACAGCCCAGAGTAGAGCCCTACAGCGCAGCGCAGAGGGTGTGAGCCGGCACCCAGCCCCGCAGGCTGCTCCTGCTGCCGGCAGTGCCAGCAGGACACAGGCTGGCTTTCCGCTCAGGCAGGAGCTGGCTTGGCAGTGGAGCTGCTGCTCTCGTAGGCTTGGACGTTTCCTTGGAGCAACCTTGAAGAGGATGAGGTTGAGCCGGAGGTGCGGAGTGGGATGAGGATGAAATCATCCCTCTGCATTTGGAGACCTCACCCGTATAGCAAGGATGCTGGGAATAAAAAACTACCCCTTGCATTGGGGTAGGCCAGTCCAGAGACCGGCCAGGCAGAGTGTGGAAGAGGCCGGTGGCGGGAGGTGAGGGTGGGCTGGGGGTGGCGGGTGAGCTGCCTGGCTCCCCGCACCCGGCACCCACCCTGCTTGCCCCTTTGGCTGCGTTATTCACCTGGGCTGAAGCTCCCAAACCCATGGGTCGCCTCAGACTGACTTTTTTTCATGCTGATGCCAGGCAGAGCTAGCAGGTCCTGGGAAGCAGGACAGAGAGAAATGTTATATCCAAATGCATTTGTTATATCCAAATGCCAGGGGGACCTGGGTGGAGGGTGTGGTGCATTCGCGTCTCGGTGCAAAGGAGATGGCAAAGGTGCTCCCGTCCCTCCTGCGCGGCTGCTGGGAAGCAGCTCCCCTGACCCCCCTGGTCCCACAGCCGCCAGGGAGGTTTGCTTCTGCTCTCCCCCCCCCGCCACCACCAAGGACCCCCCGCCTGGGAGTACACAGACGGGCTGTAACCGTGACCCTGCTCTTCTCTGCTTTGCTGATAATGTTTTCTGGCTCCCACTAAATACGTTCTACTGTGTAAAGTATCGCTCCTTTATCAGTGACAGCAACTGAGAATCTGATAGAATCTAATGCCATATTTGGCTGTATTTGTAGGGCAGTTTTCCACCTCGCTAAAGGGTTTATTGCAGAGTGTCGCCCCGAAAGCGGGTCCGGCCCCTCGCTGCTGCCCAGGCGGACTCTGGCAGCGTGGGAACCCAGATCTTTAAGGGCAAGGACTCCACTGCTCCAGCACGAACCCGCAGCCCCACCGACGACTGCTGCGGCACCACTCTCCGCTGGGACGTCCCACGGGGCCGGGCTTTGGGCACGCTCTTGCCTCCTGTGTGCCTGTGCCCTCCTCTGTGCATATTCCCTCTGCTCCTGCCCAGCGCTGGGCAATTCATCCATTGTGACAACCCACTCCCCCAAAAAACAGGTCACGGGAGTGGGCATCTATTTGTGAGGCCAAGTCGAGTGTATTTCAAGGCTTCATTTGGAGAGGATTCGTTAACGTTGTTCACTGCTGCAAAGCTTTGTTTCAGTATTTTTATAATCATTTTATTCGAGAAGCCATGTGGAGCATCCCTGCTCTGTCAAAACCAAAGGCAGCTGGAAGTAAATGTCTGTGGTACGACAGTTGTGGTTATTCCTATAGGTTATTCCTATATAAGCTTATATTCCTATATAAGCAAAATTCCTCCTGTGTTCGGTCAGGAGGTGGGATCCCTCCTTCCCACCCTGCACAAGGCTGGGCTTCAGAGGAGGGAGCAAAGGGGAACAAACAGCGACGGCGCAGACAAGCATCGCTGCAATTTGTAATGAAAACATGCATCCAGCCGGATTCCAGCCATTGCTGGGAAAAAAGGGACAGCGAACCCCTCTGCGCCCACGTGGACAAACTTATTCTGCCACAGATTTCGTGTGGAACAGGGGAAAAAAAAGAAAATCACATGTTGCTCCTCCTGCTCCAACATTTATTACTGGAGATAATAACACGCCTCTCTGAAGGAGTCGGGAGGAGGAATCAGTTGGATTTTTTTTTTTTAGGTAACTGGATCCCATTATGCCATATCTGGAGGTCGTTTTCATGCTTTAAAAAAAGAACTAAATGGCTTTCTTAAATTAAAGCCCTCACCGCAGTGCTAAGGCAGAAATAGTCGCCAGCTGCATAATGGGGGTGCGCGGGGGGGCAGAGGGTGCGGGACCCTCAAGGTGGGCAAAGGTGGGGAGTTTGGCAGCACCTTCTGAAAGAGCCATTTTGAGCACCAAAGTTTTAACAGCTGAAGACTTTCAAGCTTTCTCGGGTAATTTTAAGAGCGTAGGAAATTTGCCTTTTCTCCAGTGTTAGTGGCGTTTCAGGGCAGCTGCCTGGAAGACAGAAATAACGCCTGGCAGGTGAAACCTCCGCGCTTTTGGCGTTGGAAGGGCTGACTCCCGATGGAAATAGGGCTGGGAGCAGAAAACCTGAGCTCTTCCATGCACACGGTCCCATGCAAGTGGTTTTGCCTGGAGAGACGAGTTTTCCCTTGCCACGGGAGTTCGGGCGCCGTAGCTCCACGTAGCCAGGCTGGTTTCAGGGGCAGGGATGCTGATTTATACTATGCAACCAGCTCTGCCCCAAAATCATGATTTCCAAGCTCTGGCTGTGGGAGTCAGCTGAAAGTGGAGATGTTCTGTCCTGGTGCACAAGCCTTCTTGTAACTCACCCCTTCCCGAAAGGGAACAGTGATTTTTCTGGAAGCACCAAGAGCTGCTTCCCTACCACCTCCTCCAGGCAGATCCCAGCCCTGGGCTGCTTATTTTGGGGACCTGCAAGGCAGAGCCCAAGCGGGGAGGGACAGCGGGAAGGGGATGGATGCAGGAGTATTTTGGAAATTAATTTTCAGAGCCAGGCTCAGTTTCTAGTGCTGTTGTGTGCACCCAGCAGTGAACCTCATGTGTGAGGGAGTCAGGCACAGCCAGGCAGGGATGCTCCCTGGTGTCCACCTTGTCCCACACAGCCCAGCTCCCTTCTCCACCTTCCCTCCATCGCACCTGCATTTCATGTGCTGAACCCCCTGTAACTCATTCAGGTGTAAAGGGGATGACTTCTGGAATACATATATACTCTATAACAAAATTTGCTAATGCTCAGGGGTGCTCAGCAGTAGAGAAAACTCTTCCCTTGGCCGGGGTGGGAAGGCAGAGAGTCAGAAGCAGCAACTGAGCCTTGCTGGGGAGAAAAGTGGTTCCCGGGCAAAGCCCGTGTGAAGCTGGGGAGAGAGGCAAACCCCAGAAGGACAGAGCTAGGAGATCCCCCGCTGCCTGGCTCATTAATGAACTACTGTAGCCTGCAGCACCCAATTAGCACATAAGGAGAGATGGGCAGATAGGATGATCCAAGCAGAGAAGGAGCTTTTCTTCTACTCCGGCCACAGCAAGATTTTAAGGAAGGGGAGACCATGAAAGCAGCCAAGCACAGAGCTCTCACTAAGGAGATGGGGTGCTGCTGCCAGCCCTGCTTTTATGCCCCCCCAGCAGCAGGAGAGCAAAGGAGGCAGAGCCACAGGGCTACAAATCCCCGGGGCAGCCAGGCTAGGGCTGGGGCCAGCTGGGTGTGCTCTGCTGCTGGGGCAGGGGGGCTGCTGGAGTGGGGGGCAGCGGGGAAGCCTTGGCTCCCTGGGCAGGAGGTAGGTGTCTTTCTTCTGCTCTTTGGGCTTTGTTTGGCTCCGGGCTGGTTGAAACCAGGGGTGAAAAGAGCAGAGTCCTGTGCAGGTAGAAGGAGCCTGTGCTGGAGCTGAGGTGTGCTTGTTGCTGCCTGTTTGGTTTTTTTAAGGAAGCTGTGCAATAATTGAGTTTAAATAACTCCTGTAATAAGTGGTTTTGGTCATGATCTGGTAGGAACTTGAGTGTTACATGAATGGCAGGTCTAATGCAGGGGAGGGGAATTTTCTGGGGGCCTGCTGGCTGGAGTCACGTGCTTTACCCCCCTCCACCATGAACTAGGGGTGCACCCAGCTTTCTGCTCCTGCCTGTCTGAGGAGGAGTGTAGGATTTGGGGAGCACCTCCATCTTTCCTTGGAGCTCTTCCCTCCTCTCCATCAGAAAGCCCATGTGTCTGAGGCTCCCTGCTCCCCCTTCCCCAGGGACGTGTGCTGGGGCAGGTACCCTGGCTGAGAAGCTGGTGGTGGGGAGCACAGTGCTTGCACCCCTGGAGTTGTGCAGCTGCCTCCTAAACTGCTCTTGCTACCTGGCAAGCTGCAAAGCGACAGGCTGTGGGAGTGACTCTGACTTGTTTTCCATCAACAGCCTCTAAACACTGCTAAACTCTGATTTGTCTCTTGTGCCTTGCAAGGCGTCGAGCTTGAACAGGGGAGTAACACAGGGAAGATCAAACTTCTTCCAGCAGAGGAGGAAAGATGAATTTTTCACCCTTCTTACTGACAAGCCGTGTGTTTTCTGGCTTGAGCCTCGCTTACGCATTGGTCAAAGCACCCGTGAGGGAGCAGTGCTGGGGCAGAGCCGTGGCCGTTCTGTTCTCACTCCCGGCCCTGCAGCCTGCCCAGGGATGGGGCACGTGAGGCTGCCTCCGGAGCAGGCTGGCCATTTGCTGCCTGCAGGGAGGTCCCACCCTTGCATGTGGTGAGCCTTTTCCTGCCAGTGTGGGGATGCTGAGGCAGTCCTGCAGCTCTCGGCCTTCACGGGCAGGGACCAAATTTCTCCTGTAAAAGGGGAAGCCCCCCTGGAGCTCTGCAGGCTGCACAGAGCTCTCCTGCGGCCCTGGGGAGCCCCTCTTATCTAAACCTCTTCCCCTTAAAACCCTTCCGGCAGTTGAGACTGCAGCATTCCCTCCGCTTATCTGCAGAATCTGCCCAGGAAGCTCACAGGAGGTCACGGAGCTCCCCGGGGCTGCTATCGCCACCCGGACACTGCTTCCTATTTCCCCTGCTGAAATACTTCCCCCACAGTAGCTTTTACGGGGGGGGGAAAGGCCGGTGAAGCTGTGGCCCCTGTGGCAAGGGTCTGCCACTGGCACGGCTCTGCCCTGGAGCCCGGGTTCCATCCCGGGGCACTTCTGCTGCCTGCAGCCAGCCCGGGAGCTCGACCCGAGCTCTTCTCGCTGGGTGGGTGTCCTGAAAGAGGTTTTGAATCTTTTCAGGTTTTGTTGCAGCAGAAACAAATGGGGTGGGTTTTTTTTTTTCCTTAAAGCACGCTCGGCAGCAGGACGGTTCTGTGCAGAAGC